CAGCAGCCGCAGAGAGCTGCCCTCCCCGCCACCATCCTCACGTGTGCTTAGGCCAAGGAAGACCCTCGGGCAGCAGCAGCACAGTTTATTAAGCCAATAAAATCTGAAGTGCATGAGCTCTGGAGACCCCTGAGGTCTTTTTATGTGCAGGAAGGAGCTGGAGGGTTTCCTGGGCCTGAGTCTTTCTTGCTGCCTAGAACAGGTGGGTGTGCAGTAATCTGCCCTCTCCCCTGTGTCCCCATCCCAGGAAGGCACCTGTCACCTGACAGCCAGCCCCGCCACCTGCCCCCATCCTGGGGACCCTGGTCTGGCCTGGCCTACTGTCCTCGCTCGGACATTGCGGGAGCATGGGACAGAGCCCGGCAGACGCATGCTCCTGCTCTCGAGGTGCTGGTGACCTGCCTCCCGCCCACCGCACCTCATCCATCAGACATGCTCAGGCCACAGCCCCTTCCTCACCTCTGCTGCACCCTAGGAAGGTGGGTCAGGCCATGGCTCGCTGCCGCCGGCTTCTCTGTCTCTCCGAGAACCTCCCCTGGCCCTGCTCTTCTCCTTGTCTCTCCTGCTGCCTGCCCGCTTCTCTTCCCAGCCCTCTTCTTTGTCTCCCGAAACTTCTCGTGGTGTGCCTAATTCCTGAAGGCTGCAGCGGCTTTGCAGACGCAGCCCCACCTCGCTGCGCACACACAACCCTGAGAATCGATTCAGAAAACGATTAGTTATAGCATGGTAGCGCTGCTAACTGTGGCATTTTGCTTTGCAGCTATTGATACATCATCAGAATTGAGAAGCGATAGTCGGGAAGGGGGAGGAGAAGGGAGACAGGAGACGCCTGTCCTGAAATGTCAGCTCTGACGGGGGGAGGGATTTTTCAGGCCCGAGCTGACGCTGGCATCTGGGTCGATCTCATCACAGCCACACCTGACCTCACACAGGCTTGGGAGGGCCGGTGTGTTCCAGGTTTGTGAGAGTGCAGTCCTTGTCCCCCAGCAGACATGAGGCCTCGGGCTGCCTCCTTCCTCGCCCGATTTCTGCCATCATGGGGGCACCACTGCCCACTCCACTAGCCCACACTGCATGCTGGGTAGACCATGAAGAGGTGGTCTACGTCCGAGTGAGAGCACTGGGCCAGACCAGACCAGGGTCCCCATGATGAGGGCAGGTGGCGGAGCTGGCTGCTTCTGTTGATGGACAGGATCAGCTGCAGAATCCCAATCTAGGAGAGACCCAGAGGCCCTGACTCAGGGTTCTCCAGGGAAACAGAGTCAATAGGACCTAGGTAGGTAGGTAGGTGATAGATAGACAGATCGAACCGATTTTAAGGAACTAGGTCACATTATTGCAGTGGCTGCTGAATCTGAACTCTATAGGATGGGCAGACAGGCTGGAACCTCAGGCAGGAATTGATGCTGCAGCTATTTATTTATTCATTTGTTTAGAGATAGAGTCTCGCTCTTGTCACCCAGGCTGGAGTGCAATGGCACGATCTTGGCTCACTGCAACCTCTGCCTCCTCAGTTCAAGCGATTCTCCTGCCTCAGCCTCCTGAGTAGCTGGGACTACAGGTGCCTACCACCATGCCCAGCTAATTTTTGTATTTTTAGTAGAGATGGGATTTCACCATGCAGGCTGGTCTCGAACTCCTGACCTCAGGTGATCCGCCTGCCTCGGCCTCCCAAAGTGCTGGGATTACAGGCGTAAGCCACTATGCCCAGCTGGTGTTGCAGTCTTGAGGTAGAATGTTTTTCCCCAGATAGCCTTAGTTTTTGCTGTGAAGGCCTTTCGACTGACTGGATGAAGCCCACCCACCCACATTATGAAAGGCCGTATCCTATACTGAAATCAACTGATTTTAGACGTTAGCCAGATACCAAATACCACTCAGCAACACCTGAGTTTGTGCTGGACGGAATCCCAGGGGACAACAGCCTGGTCACTGACCATCAAATGTCCCAAGACCCCAAGAGCTGCCGACCAGGGCTCAGTGGATGGGCCTAGGGTGCAGTGAGCTCCTGGATGCGGCACTGTTTCTGAGCGTTATGGAAAATGGGCTCCTAACTTGCATTAGATGTTTAATGCCGAGGCAGCATTGGGGGTGACCTGTCTGCGCTGCCAGTGAGCGACAGAGCAGTGCTCCCACCACAGAAAGGCTCAGACAGAGGCCGGGGACTGTGGGAGGAGGGTGGAGTTCCTCCTCCTCTGTACGCCTGCAGGAGCTCCACCTCCCTGACAGGTCAGGACCCGCGGCAGTGGGGAAAGAGACAGCCATTGCTGGCTGTCCGGGAAGCAGGGCGGGGCCGGGGGTGAGGTAGGAGAGAAAAAAGAGACAGGGTTGGGGGTACCCATGGGAGCCTCTGCTGGGAGGAGTGCAGAAAATAGTGTACAGGAACCTCAAGCTTGGTGACAGATTGTGCTGGGGAGGTCTCACCCTGGCCTGGGTGGGACGGCCGGGCTGAGGTTTGCACCAATCATGGGGTGAGGACCCTGGGAAGGAGGTGAAACTGACTGTGAAGGGCCTAGACCCTCAGGCTCAGGAATCTGGACTTAACCCCCAGACTCTGAGGGTCTTTCGAGGGATTTTAAACAACCTTTGTGCTTTAAAAATCTACTGTAGGGACAGCGTGGGGAATCCATGCTAAGGAGGACATGCTGAAGGCAGGGAGTGCAAATAGGAGTTGGAAGACAGCGCCCGGGGTAGCCTCGCATTCACACATTCACTCCTCACTCCTCACTCCTCACTCCCTGAGCACCTGCGGCGTGCCGGGCCCTACCCCAGCATGGAGGCACACAGCCACGCCACGTGTCCTCAGGCAGCTTCCGTTTCAGGGCGTCGTGTACAAATGAAGTACGTGACGACCCTGCCTTATGACTGTGGTGTATAAAGAACTACCTGAGCCTGGGTAATTTATTAAGGAAAGAGCTTTAATGGACTCACAGTTCCTGGTGTCCGGGAGGCCTCAGGACACTTACAATCACGGCAGAAGACAAAGCAGAAGCAATGCGCGTCCTACATGGGAGCAGGAGACAGAGAGCGAGGGGGACTTACCAAACACTTTCCAACCATCAGATCTCACGAGAACTCACTCACCATCACAAGAACGGCACTGGGGAAACCGCCCCCCTGATCCAGTCACCCGCTACCAGGTCCCTCTCTCCACATGTGGGGATTACGATCTGAGATGAGATTTGAGCAGGGACACAGAGCCAACATGTGTTACGGTGCGACAGGCCAGGAGCAGAAGTGGCAGGTGATGGGGCGGGGACTTCCTCCGATATGATGGTTGGGGGCTTCTCTGGTGGGGGGAGGAGGCCTGGACAAGCAGTTATTGTCCAGCGCCTGGAAGAGGGGACCACATGTTCGAGGACCCTGAGGTCAAATCCAACCAGAAGGCCCCATGGGTGGGGCGGGGGAGCAAGGAGCAGGTGTGAGAAGTGGGATGGTGGGGTAGAGGGCAGGTAGGGGATGGGGCAGTGCCCGCGGGACCAGAGCCCCGGGGTGGGTGAGGAAGGCTCAGAAGAGGTGGAGAGAGGAAGAGTCTGAGTTTCAGGGAGCCCCTCATCACGCGATGCCCTTTCCTGCGCCGTCTGCTTTCTCCTACCTGTGCAAAACCCACTGTCAGCGGCCTTGAGGAACACAAGCCACATGAGGCTCCGTCTTAGCGGACTGGGGCTGCTATAACAAGATGTGGGTGGCTTAAACGACAAACACTTACTTTTTCTTTTTTTGAGACAGAGTCTTGCTCTGTTGCCCAGGCTAGGGTGCAGTGGTGTAATCTCAGCTCACTGCAATCTCTGCCTCCAGGGTTCAAGCGATTCTCTTGTCTCAGCCTGCCTAGTAGCTGGGATCATAGATGCCCACCACCATGCCCAGCTCACTTTTGTATTTTTAGTAGAGACAGAGTTTCACCATGTTGGCCAGGCTGGACTCAAACTCCTGGCCTCAAGTGGTCGCCCACTTCGGCTTCTCAAAGTGCTGGGATTACAGGCGTGAGCCACTACACCCCGTGGTTTCTTACAGTTGTGGAGACTGGAAAGTCCAAGATGCAGGTGCCAACATATCTGGTATATTCCTACCTGGGAGAGGGGAAAGGGGAGAGAAAGAGAGAGAGAGAGAGAGGCTCTAATGAGGGCACTCATCCCACTGGGAGAGCCCCACCCTCATGACTTTATTACCTCCCAAAGACCCCACCTTTAAATACCATCACATTCGGTCTTCAAGGGAACAGAAACACTCAGACCACGGCAGGGTCAGTCCCTGCTCACAGCCGACACAGAACAGCAGACTGAGCCGCTAAGAGGCAGAAGCCAGGTGCCCCCTTGACAAGGCCCCCCACCCCCAGCATCTAGCAGGGAAGCCTGGTGGCCAGAGGCGTTCACGCTGTCAATCCCCGGGGAGCCTAAGATGAAGAAGGAGAATCCGCAGTCGCTCGCGGTGACACTGACGGGTTCTGATGAGAAAACAGCCTTGCTTCCCATCAGGGGCGTAGCTCGGCGGCAAGTGCAAACCACGGGGCTGCTCAGCCCACAGTGGTCCTTCCGCATCCTCTAGGAGCCAGCCCAGGGCTCGGGAACTGGGCCTGGTTATGGGGCTGGTGCTGCTGATCTATCCCCAGGGAGGCTCTGCTGGCTTGAGAGAGACCCGGGGCTCGTCTTGGGGACAGGCAACTGGGCCATCCCCTGATCTGTCCAACCTCCAGCCTGACCCCGTCACCCACTGGCACTCTCCCCTCTGACCCCAGCTTCAGTTTTGATTCTGTGAGTCTCACCTGCAATTTCCAGGTCTGTGGAGCTCAGGGCACCTTCTACCCATGAGGTGGTGAGCAGGGCCATCTTCTTACCACTTCTTCCAGCCTGACGCATTCCTGTTTGCATCGTGCAAAAGACATAGTTTCCGTGACCCTCTGTCCCGTAGTATTTTAAATCAAGAGAGTGTGTGTCTGATGCTCTCCAGATATTCACAGGTTGAAAATGGTTTTGTTCTCTTGTTTTCTTTTTAAAACGCAGTGTGAAGTCACAACAGCCCGAGGAAATTCTGCCACCATTTCCCCAGAGCTGGTGTGCAGCCCCTCCCGCTGGGAACCTGTTCCTGGAGCCATCCCTCTGCACACAGGTACGAGCCTCTTACGCAATGCTTTCTGCTCCTCCCAAGCTGGTTCTCAGCTTCGTGCTTCTCTCAGGCCTGGGGGTGGCCCATGGCCATGCGGGGGTGACACATGAGGGCGTCTGCAAAGGGAGCTTTGGTCTGCAGAGAGGAGGGTCCCCACCATGGGGTTCCCCAACTCTTCTGTGTTTTTCACGTGCCCTTCCCCAGTCCCCCCACTGAAATGCAAATCAGCAAGTATATAATAGATAATTAATAGACTGATCAGCCAGCGAGGGAGGTAAGTAGATAAATAATTGTAATTATCCTTGGGTTGCCCATAAATCCCCTCACTGCCTTTTTATTAAACTCTCTGTTTACAGGAGTCATTTATATTGCATGTCATTTCGCCTCCCCCGCCTCCTGGGCGGCTCCCACCGGGGCTGACCTAGGGCGGAACAGCACTGTGTGACAGACACATCCTCTCCCGGTGGAGCTTGTCCTGGGCACAGGTGTCAAAAAGCTTTGCCCAAGCGGCCAGCCGGACGGCAACCGAGCCAATGCGCGCGGCTCACACAAGGCCCTCCTTCTGCGCCCCGAGGTGGCCACAGCCTATATTTAGGCCCGAGCTGGAAGCCTTTATTATACTTGGCATCTGTGCTGGAGGTACGAGCTCATTCTTCTCCCCAGGGATGGCCTTGGCCTATTAATAGCCTTGGCTGAGATTCCCTCCTCACTCCAAGTGCCAAGAGAGAAAGTGGGTTAATAAATATCAAAGAAAACTCCCTCAGAGGGCCTGGGGCCAGACTCTCCCCGGCTCTCCAAGACTCGTGGCTGTCAGGCCCCAAACCAGGAGAGGGGTTTCCTTTTCCCCCAGCCTCTCGTATCCCTCCTGACAGAGCCCCAGCACCCAGGCTGGCGGGTCTGAGGACCAGCCGTGGCAGAGCTCTCCTGGGAGTCCATGGAGCGGGGGTGGAGGAGTTCACCACCATGGAAGGCCGGGGAGGTCGGTGGGGCTGTTGGCATCTGGGCGGCGGAGAGAGGGAGGCAGGGAGGGCGCCCTGGACCTTCTGACACCTTCCTTCTGGCCTGAACCCTCTCATGTCCTTCTGCTGACTCAGCAGCATGGAAGAGAGGGGAGGAAGTGGCCTCGGGATGGCCCCCGAGGAAGAGCCTATCCTCATCCCCTCCCAGGCCTGGGGGCTGCGGCAGGAATCATTTAGCCTGAGTTGGAAACAGTAAGAGAAGGGAGCCCCAGGAACAAAGCAGGGAGGGGAGGGGCGCTCCTGAGGCCAGGCGTGCCAGGGTGGGCTGGCAGCAGGCTCTGCTGCACTGATTCATTTGATCAGCCGAATTTCAGGAGAGCCACCTGCGTGCGGGCCGTGGCTGGCATTCTGCATGGATGTGCGAGCCGCCCTGGCCTGGCGTGTTGTCGGCTAGCGCTGCTGAGTGCCTTGGGTCGGGAAAACGTCTCACAGCCCCGTCTCGTTTACCTTCCGCCGTTGGCACGCAAGGGTGCTCTTAGCAGGGCTCAGGGAGGTCACGGCCACCCAGCTGGGAACGGGCAGAGCTGAAGCTCAGACGTGGGTTATCTGGCCGCAGCAGCCGCCTGCAGGCCTCGTGTCAGGATATTTCTGCAGAGCATGGGGCCCTGTCGGCTGGATTCCGTCCGTGCTCTCCGCCTTTCACCCACTGGACATGAAGTCAGACTGCGGATGCTGCTGCTTTTATGAAATTTGACCTTAGCTGAGCTCTAGCAGGGTGGCCAGTGACGGCAGAGTCTGGGCAGCCTCCAGCCACTGGCCTGCACAGCCACTGCCCAGGGCTGGACGCTGGAGGCTACGGCACGTCAGCCCTGGACAGTCAGCCAGGCTGTGCACTCTCTGCTGGTGGTTCTCTCCTTGGAGAGAGGCTGGCTGCCCACGGCAGAGAGGGAATTCGGGCTGAGCAAACAGAAAGGCCTTTTTAAGTTTCATTCAATGGAATTAAAGTCTGAAAAATGGCCCAGCGGAGGCTCCCTGCCCTTTCAGGAGTTTGTTCAGCTCAGAGCTGTGCAGCTGGTCTCCCCCGCCCCAGCCCACACAGTCTGCGCAGAAGGAGGACACGGGGCCAGGGGAGAGGCAGAAAGATCTGACAGTGACTCCTCCAAAGGCTTTCTCCCCTGCTCAGGGGCTCGCTGGAGGGAGCGGCCGAGCCCATTTCACGTCCGTCTGTCCAGAGCAAGTGGACAAGGGGACAGGGCTCTGCCCACGGTTGGGAAAATGCAGGCGGAAGCCTGTGTCTCTGAAACCAAACGACAAGCCCCCTGGGACCCCTCTGTGTCATCTTGGTTTTTTCTGATGATTTTGTGGACCTTTTTAGAGTTTCTTATCTGATTCTGTTTTGGGGAGCTGGGATGAGTGGAAAAGAAAAACATAGGGTTTGAAAGGCAGGATGAAACTGACCCCTTCACTCCAGTAACAGCTATGACAGCAGGGCATGGCTGGCCACAGGGTTCCAGTCCCCCGCCCCTACCTCGCCCCTTCCCCACCACACAGGCAAGAACTTTTACTGGCTCTGCTTAATCTGCCTGATCTTCAGGAACTGAGCCCCCAGGGCCGCCATTGGAGGGATTGGTGATTGATTAAGGATAACCAGAGCTGCGCTTCCTGCCCTGGCTGGGTGGTGGCCCACCCACTCTGCTGAAATAGCGTCCTCTGAGAGCAAGGCTGCAGGGGAATCCACCCAGCCCACTAAGCTCGGGGCTCAGGATGGCGTCGGTGGAAACTAATGGAGAGCAAGGGCCTAAGACGTGGTGTTAAGGAGGAGCCAAGAGAAGGAGGTGGGGGGGTTGGTTCTCCCACAGACACCCGCAGGTGTAAGCAAGAGTGCCCCGAGAGCACGGCCCCGTTCACAGGCAGCCCTCCCTCATGCAGCCCAGTGGCCACCAGCACCTTCAGGGAATCTTAGAGCTGGCACCAAGTCAGAGGCCCCGGGTTTGATTTCCATCCTCTTTCATTCTGATCCCATCAACTTCCTTCCCCTGGGGTCAGGAAGGTCTGGGCACCTTCCGCAAGATCAATATTTTTCTTTTTCAATTAAAGTCAGGTCAGTATCTTTTTATTATTACACAAGCGATAGATGTTTTGTGGAAAATACCAACAAGAAAAACAAGTAACAATCTGTCAGAAATAACCGCAGCTTACGCCTCGGTGTGTGTCATGTGTGTGATCTTCCAGCGTCTGTATACATAGATATTTTTTTGTTTTGTAATCTGTTGTTTTCACTAGACGGTATTTTCAGGAACATACGTTTAGGTTGCTGTTAACCTCATTCTTCATGATTGAATATCATTCCATTGCATAGAAAAACCGTAACCAATCCCTCGAGCCTGTTTGCAAGTGCTAAGACAGGCGTTAGCCACCAACCCTATTTCCAAAACTCTGTGCTGCACCCTAAGAAACTAGAAGATTAATTTTCCAAATGGGAATTAGAAAATGATTATTCACGTTAGAAAGGAGTCTACAAACATACACTCCAAAGAGCTTCTTTGAGAAATGGGCTCCCTGGGGCATTAGAACTTCCTGCAGTGGGTAAAACCCCAAGTCACAGGCAGCTGCAGAGTGGGTGGTGCATCTGACTTTGTGTTTCTTCCCTCATGGAGATCCTTCCCAGGCCCACCAGATGCATGTGTGGGCATGTATACACACACACACACACACACACACACACACACACAGGCAGACATGCACACACACAGGCACAGGCAGACATACACACACACACACACACACACACACACACAGGCAGACATGCACACACACGCACACACACACGCACAGGCAGACATGCACACACACAGGCAGACGTGCAGACACACACAGGCAGACATGCACACACACATGCACAGGCAGACATACACACACACGCACACACACACACAGAGGCAGACATGCACACACACGCACACACACACGCACAGGCAGACGTGCACACACACACACACAGAGGCAGACATACACACACACAGGCAGACATGCACACACACACGCACAGGCAGACATGCACACATGCACACAAACACATGTGCACACTGTGTGCAGCACACACAGGCACACACACACATGCCTGTGCACCTGGTGTGTGGAAGCTTCTCTCCATTGCCAGCTGAAAGGTGATGTTAATTAACTCATTATTAATCACATCTATTTATCACATGGTCTGCTCCTAGCAACCATTCCTGGGGAATAAACTATTATTTCTCTCTAAAGGACAAAGGGAAATAGATGTTGATGAGGCTGGTCAGGTCAGCGCCCCCAGCCCACGTGACTTATTATTTCAGGAGGCAAGCAGATAAACCTCAGAGGGAACGATGCTCAGGGGACTTTTAATAAAACAAGGTTTAAAAGAAATCCAAACCCCAGGCCTGCAGGTTAGCGTCTGAAGGCTCCCCAGCACCTGCAGGGCACACGGTGGAGCCCCTAAGAGCATCTTTGTCCTAACAAGTCCAGCTGAAGACCCCTGAGGTCCCCACCTCCCCAGGACCAGTCAGAGGATGCTGCCCACAGGTGAAGCATTTGTGTGTGTATTTATGCAACCATATGCCAATACTCAGTAAACATATTTCTGGTATATTTATATTTAATTTCAGGTATACATATTTCTAAAATAATTTGGTGAATTAAAACTCATAGGATAAAATGGACTATCATATTCTAGTTGAGACAAGGTCTCATTCTGGTGCACAGGCTGGAGTACAGTGGCGTGATCACAGCTCACTATCGCCTCTACCCCCAGGCTCAAGCAATCCTCCCACCTCAGCCTCCCCAATAGCTGGGACCACAGGTACACACCATCACAACCAGCTAATTTTTAAAAATCTCTTTTATAGAGATGGGATCTCACTATGCTGCCCAAGCTGGCCTCAAACTTCTGGGCTCAAGAAATCCTCAGGCCTTGGCTGGCCAAAGTGCTGGGATTACAGGCGTGAGCCTCCATGGCCAGCCAAAATGACCTTTTAAAGCGAACAACTCAGTGGCGTTGAGTACCTT